TGGCATTTAACATTTAATTAAATTTAATTTTTCTTTGATTAGAAGACTAAGATTTCCTTCTCAGTGTTTTCACACATTTATGAATTTTATGTTTCCTCTATTAAGATTATTTACCAGACTTAACAATATTCTTAAATTTTATTTTCAATATACAGTCCATAATCCAGACGTCCATTATCAAGAATGATCTATAATCCGGACCTCAAAGTCACAAACATTTTTTTTTTTTTTGTATGCTTTACGCATGCGCGTTAATGTATAACGGACAGTATAAGCTAGGCTAAAATTATATTTACTGATTTTAAGGCATTTAAGTTAATGTTGCAGATTGCGCTGTTCCTTAATCTTCTAATTGGATCCAGCTTATTATTTTTTGCAGAGCATTTTTATAAAAATTAAGCTTGAACTTTCGATTATGTCAAAAAGAGTTTCCATTTCTGAAAAAGGATCTACAAAGCGAAAGCATGTTTTAATGTCCATCAACAAAAAGTGGAATTGCTGCAAAAAATGGATTAATTACAAGATTGAACAGTGGATTTGTAACTGAAAAACTGATTGAACAGTGGAGTTGTAACTTTGTAACTGAAAAAGAAATTATGTCTGTTTATATAATTAAAGAGAAAGTATTAGCACAAAAAATGAAGCAACTTAAACAACTTACATTGATAGAAATGTTTAATAAAGTAAACAAATAAATATTAAGCTTTTTTTTTTTTTTCGTAAATTTTGATACCCTTTAGATCATAATTGCTCGTTATTTCATATGTTACAGTTTCATATTTTTAATTGTATAATTTCTGCATGCCATCTTACCAGATCTAAATTGATAATCTATAATCTGAAAAAACCCCTAATACGGAATCGCCGAAGTCCTGAAGAGTCCGGATTACAGACCTTGTACTGTATAGCAGTAACGGTTTTGTAACTTTTTTGTAAAGTTCATTTATTAAATTTTGCTGAAATGCAACATCATTAGAGAATGCATGAAGCAGAAAATTCAACATTCTTTGCTTTCTTTATTATTTTATAAATTTTCATTTTCATCACTCATATTTAGCCAAAACTGTTGTAATATTTATTTTATTAAGTTTTGTGTTTAGAATGTAATATGTAAAAAAAATAGGATTGATCTTTATTGGGTCTATCCATAATTATAGGATTGCTGAGTTGTAGTCTGTATTCAATGCATGATTTATGATGCAAATTTATACAAAAAACATGAAATGTCTCGATTGAGGGAAACTAATATATGTAGTTGTGTATATAATAAGTAGTTGTATATATATATATATAATAAGCTTTTTAAAAAAACATATAAATATGTTAATGTACTAAAGAAAAATAACTTATATATTTAATAGGAGCAAGACCTTAAATAATTCTCTTTGCAAAATTCAATTTATAAAATATTTGACCAAAATATGAATAAGATATTAAAAAAAACTAAAAGTAGTGTATTAAAATTGTGTAAAGCAATGTATGCAACTCATCATAAATTAAAATATCGGTTATACATCTTTCTCATTTATACATCTTATCTTTTTTTAACACTGCATTGAAAAACATATTAACTGTGCTTTACTATGTTTTCTCTTTCAATATAAGCAGTTTTCATATGCATCGAAGTTTGGGTCACAAAGTATTCTTTCGAAAGAAATGCAATTCAAATAAATACAATCAATTTCTGGAAACGTTATATTAATAAATATACTTAGATCGAAGGAATAAATAGAAAATTTTAAAATAATGATTTGAATAATGAGAATTCCACCATGCATTGAAATTTAATTCTAAAAAGGGAAGTCATCAAAAAATAACAACTATGATTAAAAAATATATTTGAAAATTATTTGAAAGAATAAATGATGCTCCTTTTTTTTTTTTCTACTCATGTGCAATGAAAGGGAAAATGAAAGTTGTCATAAATTAATTTTCACCAAGGCGCAAATTGAAAAAATGTGCCAAGATAAATTTTTGAATTTCTCCATAAGTCTGTAAGAATCGAAATATGGGAAAAAATCGGTATTTCATTTCAGAAAAAGCTCAATTTTTGTATCAAAATACGTATGTTAGAATCATACTATATGTGAACCTAATATATATATATTGTTGCAAAATACTCAGCGGCTGCAGGATGAGATAGCTTCCCCGCAAAGCAGATGAAAAATTATGGGCTTAGAGTTGTCAGAAAGTGGCACAAAACAGCAATGTTGCCAAATTTAGCACAAAACCCCACATTTGGTGATATTTGGTGACAAACTTGGCAATGTCATAGACCGAGCGAAAACAAGAAAATTCTCAAGCGCATTCTTAGCGGTTTTCTCGAGAATATTCTCGAAGGTAAGTTAGAGCTGTATTACACCCTGCCTCTACAGGGAGAAAGTAGTGTCTTGAGTTCAGAGATTAGCTTGAGAGTAATCGACCAAGTCGGGAACTGTACTTTAGTGCTGTGCCATGAAGCTGTCTTCATCGTTATAGCCTGAAGGCTGAGTTGCTGATTGTTTCTGCATGTTAGTCGTAGTTTTTTTATGAGTGTAAACATGTTTTTGGAATTGTCTTGTGTAATAGTGCTTACTGGCAAATAAATTGTGTTTTGATTCTTCATCGAATATTATTGTTAATTACTCCAAGTCCCCGAACCGGTAGAATGCAACAATATCCTATGTTGCGCTTTTTAAACATGAAAAACTAGTTTGGTTTTCGTTAATTGTCCCAGTACAATAGCGAATATAGAACTTTTTTTTGGGAGGGGAGTATCTGCACATGAATACCAGGATATAAGGAAAGATAAAACTTGGTGCATAAAAGATGTAGTGACTGATTAAGCCCTCCCCCCTTTTTCTTTTTAAGTCCAAAGGGGCTTTGTCCCTGAAGGACTATTGTTTTCATTTTGCATTGATTCACTATATATGTCCGTTTCACTTTTCAAACTGTTGCCACCTAATGTTAGTACCCTGCATTATATTTGAAGATATTAAATATTAAATAATGAAGAATCTGCATAAATATATGTATATTTCTCGCATTGTGATAAAACAGTGGTACATAGAACCATCAAATTTTGAATTACGTAATCCTACTGCGAATAAGGGCATATGGAAGCCCAAATTTGAAATTTGGAATTTGTTTTATTTATCAATTTCATATTTTGCAATGAATTTTTGATTAACAAACTCAAGGATTTCAAAGCGAGCAATGGCAATGTTTTACAGAAAAAACATTTTTATCTCCGCGCCAGACTCTGTATCGTAAATTCTAAAGATGTGCTCAATTTAAAAAACTATTTTGCGGTATTGCTCTTGAACTGAATTTTATGGTTTAAGTGCGAAGATTGTCATAGTTAATAAATAAAGGTAACAGACAAAATGTTAAAAAAAGGCCCTTTGGACATAATTAAAAATATGTTTTTTTTTTTTTTTTTTTTTTTTGCGGGGGGGGGGGGTGTATTTTTGAGAATTATAATATGAATGAACATATTGTAATGGGTTCAATCTGTGTGCCCTTCTTGATTATGTTTGTATCTTTTTTATATTTTGTGGCAATATGATTTATGAACAAGAGAAATGAATTGTGTTACATTAATAAGACAGCAAGCAAGAGCAGAAATATGATGTTCTCTAGGATGAAAATTAGTTTCAAAGTGATTTCAGTTATGGTTCTGAAATTTTCTTATTAACTATCAATAAAAAGTTTCAGTTCCAGTTGAAATCTTATACATTGGTGTATTTATGTAAGTGCTTGCATCACTAGCATTACGTAAGAATAATTTAATAAGGATTAATATATAGATTATAGAGATTTATTATAAGCAGTTACTATTTTTGCAAATACAGTTTATAGAGATTTATTATAAGTAGTTACTATTTTTGCAAAGGGGAAATAACTAAATTAAAATGGAGAGTTAAGGACCTGTTACAGGTTAAGACTTAGAATTTTGCTTAACATACTTTTTAGCTTTCATGTATAAATTTTAGTGCTAAGTTAGAAATAATATATTCCATAACAAGATTGTAAATAATAACAAAATTGTTGGAAATAAAAGAGTGATAATTCATTCCTGAAAAATAATTAGTCAGTTAAAATAATTTCATTGATAACTTGTAATGCAAACGAAACAAAAATTAGCTTTTTAAAATAAAATAAGCTTTTTTTAAAAACTCATCAAATAATTAATAAATTAAAAGTGTAACCAATCCTTTAACATAAACTGTTGGACTAACTGTGACAACAAGGGTGCACTCTGGTGAATAGCCAGAGAAGTACTTCAGTAAAAGCCAAGTGTCTAACTTGATAGGTTGTATCAGACTCTTGCTCTGCAATTTTCTTATAAAGTTAAATGTAATGCTCATGTGTAACTTAAACCTGTTAATAAATACTTGTTACACTATACCGGACTCTTCTAAGACCGTATCTAAAACGACCCCCTCACAAAAGAATAAATATAATTTATCATATAGTGTAATGGGAACAAGAGTTTAAATAATTCTCTAAGCAAAATTCATCTATAATTTTATATCATGATTAATAAAAGTGTGGGTATTAGTAACAAGATCTAATCATCGAATTGCGTATCAAAAGTATAAGCCATTTACATTATAAATTTATTAAGAATGCCTCATGCTTTTATTATTTGCAATATAAAATTGCAGATGAAATTTTTAAATATAACCATTTAATCTCTTTTTCCTATTAAACTATATGATATTATTTTTTTTATTTAATGGCTAAATCTTACAACTTTAAAATTATGCAAACTAATTTACACAACTGGTTCAGGATAAATGATATGTTTGAAAAGCATTTTATGGCAACAAACTTTTTATTTTTATTTATTTATTTTTTATCTTCATGCCATTTATATCAGTATTCTAAAAGAACAATTTTGAGCCAAAAGCATACCAATTAAGAACAGATAGCATAAAACAAAGCTTCTAGTATTTTAAGTTCTCAAAAACTGTATTAATTTCTTTAATTTTTAAATTATGTGTTTATTTTTTTAGGAAAAAGCTGTTGAAAAGTACTTCTGCAATGTGAAAATGGTTATAGAAAGTGCTATAAGCTCTGTGGTAATAATAAATATTATTATGTTTATCTATTTTATATTTAACACTAGAAAGATGAATACCATCCATTTTGATGGATTCAGATATACTTTTGAGCGCTAGTTCTTTTTTGTGGGCTTAAGCTACTGAAGTTTGATGACTTTCATCATATGTATATATATACATATATATATATGCAAATACCTAAATATTAATAACAAACAGAACTAAAAGTAAGCAAAATGTATACTACTCACACATTTCAGTTTGAAAGTTTACCACCATTTCGAATGTTTAACACTTTTAGAAGGACTGGGAGAATTGAATAGTAAGTTATTTATTTTCATTCAGTTTGCTTTTATTGCATTAGTTTTGGGCATTTACACAAAATGGTTTTTAAATTTTTGCTGTTGATTAATTTTTTTAAAATTATAATAAAAAGAGAATGACTTTAAGTAACTAAGCCCAGTTATTAATTGTAAAAAGACCTGTTTTTTGTTACTAAATATTTTTTGTACTTGGCGATTTCTTATTTTTCCACTTTTTGAGTTTTGATAGTCAGTATTTTTTTGTTTATTTTTGTAGTATAATTTTTGCTTAGTTTTAGTTCTTTTCGTTTTTAATACTTATATCAGTATTCTGAAAGTATTTGCCATTTTTATTTTGCTTAAGAGTATGTATTTGGTTTTCTGAGAGTGCAAATGCATGTAGGAGAAGCTCTGAACTCATTTGGCACGCATTGTAATATTATCAGATTTGAACGAAAGTTTACCTCAAATATCGTCTGCACAAACAATTCTCGTTGGCATATTTAATAATATTTTGTTGAACAATTTTTGGCATTTGAAAGAAAGAGACTTGCTTTGAAACAGTGTGTTGTGAAATTTGTAAAAAAATATCATTGTCATTAAGTACAAGGTGTCTGAAATTTAACTATCACACTACCTGATTACAGCCATCATTTACTTGCAGTTCTGTTGCAAAAAGTCAGCTCCAGAATGTCACCAAATCATGTTTACAGTTTTAGGTATTAATGTTGTATCATATAAAGCTGTAAACGTTTATTATCTAAAGTCCAAAAACAAGTACTATAAAATTCAAGAAGCAGAGCAAGCTCCCTGGCCTGCTGATGTTGATGAGTCCCGCTTGTGAAAGAAGATCAGTATGCAACAAACTTGAGAGCTTGCTAAGTTAGTTAAAAGCTAGACGCTAGTGCCATGTCCATTAGTCGCACTATGTATGGCATAAACTTCAAGTTGAATTGCTGAGTGCCGCATGAGCTGACTCAAGCAGGTAAGGACAGACATGTTCACGCCTGCACTTATCTGCTTGAATATCAATGCAAGGACAAAATTCTGGACCGGATTGTCACTTGTGATGAAAAGTGGATTTACTTCAACAACACAGGTCGAAAATGAATTTGGTCTGCATCCGGTGAGCCTGTCGACAGTGTCACAAAGCGCAATTTAGCTAACAAAAAGATCATGCTTTGTATCTGGTGGGATTGCCGTGGATTTTATTCAGAAAGAGTATTTGGAAAAAGGTAAAACCCTCGACAGTAAGGTGTACAGCAAGATGCTTGTCTGTGTTGATGCTGCTATCAAGGAAAAACATTGTACTGAGTTCTGGCACAAAAAGATAATGTTCCATCAAGTTAATGCAAGAACATATGTTTCTGCATTCACCAGATGGACTATGTACAGACTCGAATGAATCTTTCACCACACACACCATATAGCCTCAACATTGCTCCTTCAGAGTTCTACCTTTTTCATTACAGCTTGAGCAGTTATACTTTTAAGTGGTTTCAGCTCACCATTCCTAGAAATCACTGCAAGTCTTCTCGGCCTTTTCTTTTAGGTTCTGCAAACTTTTCAATCGTGTGGATCTTCTTTGGATCAGGTGAAATGCCTTTATCAGGCAGTACATGTCCTAAATAAGTTGCAGGGGTCCGAGATAGCTGTGTCTTCTCTATGTTAAATTTTAGATTAGCACTTCTGGCTATCATAAGAGTCTTCCGCTACAACTTGCAATGTTCTTCGACAGACGATGATCGTAGGACTAAATCATCAAAATATGGATTTATCTCATTCTCATTGCTAGAAATCTCCTCCATGGCCCTTTGAAATTCCTCAGGTGCATTGTTCATACCAAAAGGAAGAACCAAAAATTTGAATCTTCCCCAGGGCATTTTAAATGTTGTCAAGTATGATGACTCCTGACTCAACATGAGGTGCGACATTTTCTTTTATTTTTATCTTTACTGTGCGAATTAGTTTTCCCACAAACAGTAAACACATCTGCAAATTCCTGTATCACTTGCTCTGGTGTCTCTTCATTTTCTTTCTTTTCCTGCTTGACTTGATACACTCTCCAATCAGACCCAAGTCTTGACAAGCCTGAAGACCCAAAATAGGAGACGATTCCAGAGTGGTTACCAGAAATTTGAGAGTTTTTGTCAATTTTTTAGTTTTACATGTAAGGTAGCACTCACCTAATATTGGTACTTGGTTGTGACTATAATCCAGTACTGGTTGTTTATTTTTCTTAATTATCAGCTTCTCACTCCACTTTAACAATTCACTCTTGGGTATAATGTTGATTTGAGCTCCAGTATCTAATTTGAAGTTCATGTCATTCTTATTTACAGTGATCTTTTGGTACCAGACTGATGCTTTATTTGAATCAACCGCGTCAGCAGTTTGTACTTCCTTTAGGTAAATAAACTCCGAGTGGCTATCTTTCATACGTTCAACGACATGCACTCTCTGTTTTGGTTTGGCGCGACACATTTTCGCCCAGTGATTTTTTCCACTGCACTTTCGGCAGACCGTTCTGAAAGCAGTGCACTTCTTTAGCTCATGTTTTCGCCCACATTGCTTGCACTCTTTTACTTGCATTATTTGTGCGGGATTTGATCAATGTTTGTTTTTTCTAAGGGCGTCTGTGGAGATTTTGTTCTCGTTCATTTCAGTGGCTTGTGCTTTGCTATGTTCGCCCACCTTGTGTTCACTGATGATATTTTGCAGCATCTTTTTCGCTCTATTTGTCTCTCGTATTAGCCATTCTTGTAATGCTTTATCTGAGATGCCTTGCACTATCTTATCACGGAGCATTCTATCTTGCGCTTGCCCATAGTTGCAATCTACTATTGCACATCATAGCCTTGAGTAAAATTTCTCTCCTTTCTCTTGCTCTATTTCCAGAAACTTGAATGATGCGTAAATCTGATTTTGATAATCTGCAAAATATTTGTTGAATTCTTGTAGTACTTGTTTCAATGACACTTCACTGCAGCCCGCTTCTGGCTTCAAATCAAACAATCGATATTGCTTTTTTAATCTGTCACAGCAAACATGTCAAAAAAGGCACAGTTTTTGTGCTTTCCAATTCTTGGCTATATCTTAATGCCTCGAAGTCTTCCTTCCAGTGTCTCCAAGCTACAGAAGGGTTCAATCCAGCGTCAAACAGTGACAACGTGGGCGGGTTATGCGCCATTTTTTATTCCAAGTTTTTCAAATCCACTAATCCTTAAAATATTAATTTATGCATTAAATTCGTGAGCATGGTTAACTCTGACAACATGTTATATATGTTGACTCGTCAAACATAGATAAATTACTGTTTATTTATAAAATTAAATTAGATTACTTATACATAAGATAGACAATGATGCTACATGGTTGGCGGTAAGTGACGAGAGTGTGTCGCAGCACAAATACCGTGCACTTGCCTGACTAGTCAGGTTAGAGGCACTGCCATTTATAGGCAAGCAAAGTAATTAATATCTAACAGCTATCAAGGAAAAATGTTGTACTGAGTTCTGGCACAAAAAAGATAATATTCCATCAAGTTAATGCAAGAACACGTTTCTGCATTCACCAGATGGACTATGTACAGACTCGAATGAAATCTTTCACCATATAGCCCTGACATCGCCCCTTCAGAGTTTTACCTTTTTCACACCTGCAGCTACATCTTGCTGGTGCTATCTTCTATTCTGCTCAGGATGTCAGAAATGAAGTTGTTGTGGACTCGCAGCCACCAATTTTCTGTACAAAAGGCTTTGAAAAACTACCAAACCGGGAGAAAATCATAGATTTGGGTGTTGATTACTACCTGCACTAAAGATACTACTTTAATGTTTTTTTTTTTTCCCCTAACTTTATTGAGAACTTTTTTGGCTCAAAAGATTCATCATTACAACCAGATAATTTTAATTTGCAAAATTTGTTAAAAACGGTTTCAAGTCACACATTTAGGTCTAGAGGAATGAAACATGTATTCAAAACTCATTAATCGCTCAGGTTTAGGGCTTCAAATACTGTCCCTTTGACAAGTTCTGCTTGAAATGGTAAAAAAGTTCCCCCCCCCCAAGGTTTTCACGTGTACTTTTCATTTTAATTTTAGTACACCTTTAAACTTTTTCGGCTCAGCTTTCCCATGCAATAGACTTACCAGTAATTACTTCATTACTTTTTAGATAGGATAATCAGGATTCCCTTTTTCTCAGCAAGCCTTTTATCTCCTTGAAAGATGGATATGTAAGATAAAAATATGTAAATATGCTTTATAATTTCATTTGGTGATAATCTTTTGATTCCTTTTTACTTCCTTGTATGTAGTAAAAAGGAAGTATTGTAATCGCAAAATATTTCACATGTCATATTTCGACGAAAATGTTCATTTTGACCGCTATCGAATGAAATTTAACGATGTTTTTCCATGACTTCTGTACGTAAGGACAGAATAAAGGACCCTTTTCCCCCCAAAAAAATTATAAAATTGATTTGAAATGAATTCTGAAGAGAAATTTTTTAAGTGCGGCTAAACCTACTTTTTGATTACCATGGCAGCCATGTTTGTTTACATTTGAAACTTAGCAGAATAATGAATTTGCTGCCAATCTATCAAAACTAAACTTTGCAACAACAAAGTAATGTCTTCTTTTATTATTGCAAATTAAATTATGCTTAATTTAAGTCTGGAATTATCATTTAAGTTATTAGCTTGTTTTTGCATAGAAACTGTAATTTTAATTGTAAAAATTGTTTTTTAATTGTAGTAACTGTACTTGGTGTTTTATGTTTTTCCATATCTTTCAATTTTTAAAGAAAATATTTTGAATTTTTGTGTATTTTTTCCTTATCGGGAAGTGAGAACTGAATTAATTAGTAGTGCATGCACATTAGGTAAGCAGTGCTGAATCGTCTGTGAAAAACTGTTTCTTTTTTACTTGTTTAATTTCTTTTATACATCGTTTTAGCTTTATTATAATATTTGAATAGAATATGTGGTAATTCTTCAGATGATATAATTTTTTGCACTTATAATTTTTGTGAGTTATAAAATGAATGAGATGTAATGCTGTTAAGTGAATCTGCCAAAGTGTCGCTATGATAAATAAATATAATGAACTTTAAAGAGTGCATTTATCCTATTGTGGTTTATGCGCTATCAAGAAAGTAGATTTAATTCAAAATTCATTAACTGTTAATTCAATATGTTTAAATGAAATACAGAAAAATTGCATATAATTTAATATTCCGTATAAGGAAGTTATGTGTTGTACACATCAGATTTTTTTTACTTCCTTGTAAGAAGTAAAGGAAGTACTATAATCACTACAAATTCTGGGTATCACATTTCAGCGAAAATATCCATTTTGACCGCTGTCGAATTCAATGATGCTTCTGTGTGACATCTGTACATAAGAACAGAATAAAGGACCCCTTTTCCCCAAACGAATTATAAAACTACTTTATCTCACACAACTCAAAAACAAGTAGTCTCAGAATGTTGCAATTTTGTATATAGGACTGCTATAACATATAGTTGTACACCTCCCTTTTTAGTTGCAATCGACCGCACCAAAAAGTGTATAAATATATATATATCCACTGTGTTACTTAGCTTCATCAGCTCGTTTTTTTTTTTCATTCTTATTTGTTGGTAAATTGTGCATTTTTTGCTTAAAATTTATTGAATTATGTTGTTCTTATCTTCTGGTTAAAGTTTTTATGCCTTTAGTCAATATGCATGCAACAGTTGTAGAATTATCAACTATTTAAAAGTTGTTTACGTGCAGCTAAGCCTAATTTTTCTTACCATAACAGCCATATTTGTTTACATTTGAAACTTAGAATTTTGGAGAAGATGAAAACTTTCTTCGGCAGAAACTTAAAATGTCAACTAGTGATTCTAAAGTAGATGAAATTAAATACCAACAACCAATAAGTTGTTTTTGATTCAAAATATATTATTGGAATCTAGTGAAAAAATGTCATGTGTAAAGAGATATGTCGAAAAGGGGAAATATACAAGTTCAAGACAGTTATTTATCATCGGTAACTGTTAAAAGTACAACTGTTCATTGTCCCTAGGTTAATTCAATGCCTTATAGTCCTTTTTACACTTTAAGAGTTTATTGCATGAAAGACTCTCCTTCAATAAGTTTATGGAATAATCTGCAAGGACTTGCATATTTCAGTGACATAAATTCATGTGATACATAAAATAAAAAATAATGAGATTTATGAGAGTAAATAAATACTCTTTAGAGATCTCAGATATTACAAAGGAACTAATTTGCTCTTGTATCCTCTGTGTAGATAGATTCATTGAAAACTCGATTTCAGCATTACAAATTGAAGAGTAATAATGGTAACCATTATATTTATCTAAAATTTTATTGCTTTTTACTGTAGTCATTAAGACTGATAAAATTGCCATTAAGTTTTAAATTGCTGTTGATATGAGCTCAACATACATGCTAAATGCTTTACAATGCTTAGGATATGCAGAAACATATCCTAAACATGGATATGCAGAAACAATAAAGTAGAAATCTTACTACTTTCAGACTAATTTTTTTTTTTTTTTTTTTTTTTTTTTTTTTTTTTTTTTTTGTGTGTATGTCTGATATAATTGGGAATATCACAGCAGATAAATTTTTCATTCCCCTTACTCTTGCTGATAAACTGAAGTTAAAAAAATCTGATGTGAATGCCACATGTCTTCCTCGTATGGTCTATTAAATTAAATACATTTTTTGCTGCATTTTAGACTTATTTACTTGAATTATTCTAACTCAATTAACCAAATTTCTCAAGACAAATTGAAAATGACATAAAAAATTTCAAATTTTCAGATTAAATATCCCGGTCAAGTTTTGTCATATGGGAGTCAAACTTCTTGTATTTTTATTTTTTCATAATGAGTATAAAATTTTCCCAAATGTAAGTATAGGAATCAGGAGATCGCATTAAAAGTTAGATTTCGTTATTTCTCAAAAATTTGTTTTTAAACTTTGACATTGCTAAAATATGAATGTTTTTGTTATTTAAAACACTTTCATAACACAGACACATTTGGTATGGCCCATTGCAGTAAAAAAAAGGGAGCACAAATTAGCCATCTCATATACAAAATTATAACGTTCCACGGTTAATTACTTTTAACTGGACCCCGTCCTGGGATCCACAAAGGGCCTGCCTCTCGGGGTAAGTGTGTCTAAGCTCCTGTGACCCTTTCCACAGTGGTGCAGACCACACAGTCCCTGTCCGGCTTGATAGAAAGCATGGGACAAAGTAGAAAAATGCTTGCAAAATGTTAGAAACATAAAAAGAACGCTGTGACTTTCTTTGCCTCCAGACACCATTCCATCGGCATCGAATATTTTCATCTTAGTGCCTTGTCTGCTCTGTCAGTCCCTGTCACAGGGACTGGGGGGGGGCAAACCCGAGAGGACTAGTTCGGCAATCTCTGATCTAGCTCCACAACAGCCAAGGGAACGGACATGACAGTATGGTTGCTGCTAAGCGAATCTACCTAGGTACAAGATCCTAGCCAGTAGCTTCACAGAGTTCTCTGCATTAAATCCCAGGGGAAGGGAATGTTCTTCTGTACAGACATTGTGCAGAAAAATTCATTCACATGTATTCGGGAGCTGTCAAAATATATATTTTCATTGAAATGTAATATGCAAAATTTTTTGAGATTATAATGCTTCCTTTACTTTGTACAAATAATTTAAAACACTAATTAAATTAGCATAATGAAACATTCAAAGCAAGAAATTTCTGATGCTTTGGAATATTCTGATCATCTCCTTAATTAAACTTTTATATTCAAGCACAATGATTGCACTTTGACTATATACCAGTACGAGAACAAAAATATATTAGTGTACTTTTCATCAAACTATTAAATTTTCATCAACTGTTACTCTTCAAACTGTTAAATTCTCTCATCAACTGTCACTCTCCATCAACATTTATTCACTCTTCATCAACCTGTTAAATACATAGATAATGGTAAAAACTGCACAGAAAGGAGATATTTTATTATTCTCTGAAGTATGATATTGACATTCTAGACAAAATGGCTAAAAACCTTTTAAGTAAATGCAAAAAGTCTCAGATGGCTAATGGATATGTGTTGTAACATTTTACATTGAGCTATAATCAATACTTGGATAGTGTATAAAAGGGTATGGGAAGTACAGCTCTTAAAAGAGATATTTTTGCTGCAAATTTTCTGAAGAACTTCAATGAAAACATATGATTGCCAATTGTATTTAATGCTGCATTCCAGTATGTATAAGTATCTGGTCAGGAATCAAAACAAAATATTCACGTACAGTGCCAAACTGGGAAATGCAATAAAAATAGAACTGTGTGTGTGTACATGTTACAAATGCACAAGGTCAGTTTGTAGAAAATGTAAAAATGCAGTAAAAGACATAATTTGCATTCAATTTATGAAAATGTCACTTGTTAGATCTCAATCAATAATAAGCAGACAGCTGAATATATCCTTTCTCTTAATGGTAGCAGTCGTATATATATATCGCTTCAAATTAATGTAGTTTATAAATTGTATTTTTTTATGTTAATTATATGTAATTTCATTAATATATTATCAATTTATAAGAAAGTAGCAGTTACAGATTGTCAAAATGATGGCTTTACTTTTTATTAAGAAGGGAAAATCACATCTTTCTGGTGTTAAACTCAAAGAAATATTATGGAAGAAAGTTTTACTTTAAATTATATCTTTTTCTTTAGGAGGAAAGGATATTATCAATCTTGAAGCATTCATTTAGAAAATGTGTGGAAATTATGCATTCCATTTAAGAAAAGAAAAATTAATTGCAGAGGCTGTTTGTATTAAAGATACTCATATTGATTGATATATAATTTTATTAAAATGTTTTAGAATTATATATATTGTATTACCAGTAGTAATAAGTAGTTTCAGTGAAACTAACTGTATGTATTTTGTAAGAAAATTCATTCATTAAATTTAACATTTTGTACAAAGATTAGTTTTTTTGGAATGTCTTACATAAACTACAAAATCAGTAACTTATTTTATAAATAATGGTTGTACTCATGAAGAGTATCTCTTTAATTAGATTATATTTAGTCTACTGCTGGAAATTTGATATCAATCAACTTTAAAAGTGAGGAACTTAAATACCAAAAATATTGTTACGTGCTTACAGTTTCACAATGGATTCAATGCACACAGAACCAATGATATCTTGATAAAATTTATTTTCCCAAAAGGAACACTTTACAGTTCTGGAACTTTCCACAAAAGTACTCGTAAGTTTTTCTCAATACGACAAAGCACAATCAGTAGTTACCACTTCAAACTATTAAGGATGTTAAACCCAATGTAATGCAAAGCACATCTGAAGAGCAAAGTTCACATCGAGATTTCTGAATACTCCAGATTTTTAACTAAAACTGATGCTGTATCCGATTTTATATAGCCCCTCCCGGCCACCAAGAAATTTCCAGTAATTTCAATTTTTCAAAATCGCTCAAAGATGTATACAGTTGTAGTCACATAGAAATCGCTCCAAAATGCCGTCAAACGATCCCGAAATTTGGTGACAAAAATTACTCGCCAAAACTGTCACCAGCTTGGCACTATCTGGCCAGTTTGTCAAGATAGCCATTTACCTTAATGTTAAATGGACTGATTTCGCTTCGATCCTGGAACAATATCGGCAGCTTTCTGGATAGAGTCTTCTAGACAAGCCATCGGCATTTCCATGTGATAATCCCTTCTGATAATTGATAGTGATATCTCATTTCTGGAGTTTGTATCCATCTGGCTATTTGGCATTCGGGATTCTTGAAATTTAAAAGCCAGGTCAATTATGTATGATCTGTGCGGTATACGTATTTTCTGCCATAGCGATAATGATGGAAGTGTTTTATCCCTTTAACTATGGCGAGCAACTCTTTTCTGGTGACACAGTAATTCATCTCTGGTTTAGATACACACTTGTTCCAGTATGCTACGACACGTTCTTGACCATTTACAGTCAAAAGTCTTTAATGCGGATTCGGCGGGACTTCGGTGATTCCAGATTATCAGTTTTTCCAAATTATAGATCATCAGTTTAAATCTGGTAAGATGGCATGCAGAAATTATAAAATTAAAAATATGAAACCGTAATTTATGAAATAAAGAGCACTTATGATCTAAAGGGTATCAAAATTTACAAAAGAAAAAAAAAAAAAAGGTTTATATTTATATGTTTACTTTATTAAACATTTCTTTCAACGTGCGCATGCGTAAAGCATACATCATGCATAGTCAAAATTACAAAATTGCAACCAGAAAACTATTTGATGTGTATTCCTGATATTTATAATGACGAGGAATTTGATTTAAATCATATCAAAGATGGAGTACATCGAGATGAAATACTACATGTAGTAAGGAATTATAAGCCGAATAAAATAAAAGCATCTGCCCTGAAGATAAGGATAGTGCTGACAGATCAACTTCCAGTTCATTGCGCGCCGCGTCTTCCCCCCCCCACCCCCGCAGAGCAGCGTGAAATTGATAAACATATTTCGGAATGATTAGAGAATCAAAGGATATGCCTTTATTATTTTTTGCAGCAATTCCACTTTTTGTTTGATGGACATCGAAACATGCTTTCGCTTTGTAGATCCCTTGGTAGCTCCAGAATCGGAAATTCTTTTTGACATAATCGAAAGTTTAAGCTTACTTTTATAAAATTGCTCTAACAGTCTGCAAAAAATAATAAGCCGGATCCAATTAGAAGATTAAGGAAGAACGCAATCTGCAACATTAACTGAAATAGATAATTAGATAATTTTATTAGCTTATACCGCCCGTTTTACATTAAACGTGCATGCGTAAATGTATTATGCGCATGCGTGGACGCATATGCGCATGTGTTAACGCAATATGCGTCGACGCATGCGCCGAAAGTTTGTAGCTTTGAGGTCCGGATTAAAGACTTTTGACTGTATTTCTTAGGTCAAAAGAACACTGATGCTCTCATTGCTCACATCCATGTCGATAATCTTATGTTTTGTTGAGATGAGGATAACACCACGATTGTCGCAGTTGTTAAAGTCTCCTTTGATTTTTAAAATGCATGCTCACACTTTTACTCACAAGAACTTTTGCTTGCTGTCTGTCAATTTGTGAATGGGTCTTGTGATGGAAGAAAAGTCCTTCACAAATCTCCTATAATTGGAGAAAAGCCCAGGAAACTACTTAGCTGATGGAACTTTTCGTGACGTCTTGAATCTTTAACTGTCAACAATTTTTCTGTATCGGTACACATAATCTTTGAGAGAAATGATGTGTCTGAGGTATGTCAATTCCTGTTTGAACAATCTGCATTTTCCAGGACTTAACTTTAGACTGGCTTCCCTACAATTTCTGAAGCACCTTCATAATATTTTCTGAATGCTTTTCAAAACTTTTCTCGGCGATGATGATTTGATCCAGGTATTTTAGATAGGCTTCTTAGGTAACACCTCTCGGCACAGTCTCCATGAGGCACTGGAATGTTGTCAGTACATTGAATAATCTAAACGGCATCACTTTGAACTACTTAAGTCTTTGTCCAGTTGTAAATGTCTTCATTTCTCAGTCATCAGGGCACATCTCTACCTGCCAATATATCCATTCTTTAAATCAAGCGTCAAAAACCACTTGCTTAAAGACAAAATGTCCAAAATGATGTCAATTCTAGGAAGAGGGTAGTTTTCTTTTTTCGTGACGTTGTTCAACAGCGATAGTCAACCCTAAATCTAGTTGAACCTTTCTCTCTGACCAGGATGATGGGAGAGGCCCAAGGTTTTGCTGTTGGCTTTATAACGTCGCTTTCTTGCGTGTCCTTAAAAGGTTTTTCTGCATCTTCCTGTTTGCCAGTCAGTAGGCATCTTGTATGTTGTTTGCTTCGTGAATGGTCCTCCACATCAATTTTATGCTGTACCAAACTGATTCAACCTATATAAGAAGAGAGGATGTGCTTGAGAAAATTTCTTGAATGACATGTTCTGCATTATTCCTGTCTTCATCATTTAGTAGTACACTCTGGAATAACTCCAATGTTATGCTCTCAAAAAACACAGACTCTGGATGACTACTGGTTCATTTAACTCAGGTCACTGGAATGCATACAGTAACCACTTCGCCTTTCATACTGACTCTCGCCTTGCCACTTTACTTTCATCATTACTCGTCACCTATCAGGTCCTTGATAGGTGACGAGTGCCGAGGCTACTAAGTACTCCTTTCAGGTTGTTACAGTTCTAAGGATATATTTTTTGCCATACTGGAAATTTGTGTTTTCTGCTATAGAACCAGGCAATAAAATTTCTGTTCTTGCTGGTACTGTGATATCATCTTGAGGTACGACGGATCTTCTTGGACGGATTAAGTCCTTTATTTTTAATTTTGGACCTGGTTATATCCTCACAGGCAGAATGCAGGTCATTATTTTTAAGCCCAAGAAAAAGCTATTTCCTTTTGAAGTCTAATTGAAGTATACAAGAGATATCTGTCACTTATGGCTTGTGATGATGGGCTGCACTTACAGAAGTGATGTTAACGTTTAACTTTCCATCGACGTCGATTTTATTGCTCGCAATCTCAAGTGTAACGCAAGGTGACCTCAAGTTAAGTTGAATTTCCACTCATTGAACCACATCTTTTCTCATTATGGTAACAATGACTTCTGTATCGATGGTTATATTGCAAGGTTCACCAGTGATATGTCCCATGATGAAACGTCCATTACTGCCACTACTCATTGCAGAATGTGAAGCTTTAAAATGGGTGTTCTTAATCTCTGGTAATTTCTGCCTCGTGAGAATGCCACTAATCTGTTTCCATGTACCTGCTGGGACTTGTCTTAAGCGTCCGTGTACTGTGGTGTTCTGCAATTCCTTCGTACATGCCCTTCATTTCCGCAGTTCCAGCACTTTAGGTTCGGTTTCTTGCCAGTTTAATCCACTTTAAAGCATTGAATTGCATGATTAAATCATCACAATCTCTTGACCCTCTGGCTTCTGAACATGAGGAGCTTTGATCAGGTGGCGGTCTCTACAAGTTGCTCTTTTGGCTCCCTTGAATTTCATAGCGGATTAGCTAAAATGCTTTCTAAGTTTTTGACATCCATCATTCGCAGGGCTTGCTATATCTCTGGATCCCGGATGCCACCGATGAAGTACTGCAGGACTAGGATTTATTTTGTTTCTCGTAAGCAGTTCGCAAAGGCGAGATAAGACAAAATTTAAACATCCGTGGCAGGCTCCTGGAGTATTTCCATGAACTTCTGTTGGCGACATTTCAACTGAAGCCTGCTGTAGTCTTCTAAACACTTATCACCAAAGCATCGAATACAGCGCCGAAGTTAGCCTATTGTTTTCATGCAGAGTTTGAAGGATATTCGCTGCGTCTGCTCTCAGAAAAGCGGCGGGATGACAGGCATCCCACTATCTAGCCACCATTTTTCAGAATCCCATCCATTTTCAGTGTCATTTGCTACTATAGAGTAATGAGTCTTTTGCAATAGCCAAGAGGTTTTTCATCATACGTGGATAGCTTTAAAGAGGGCTGAGAAGAGATAGGTAGGAATTTAAAGCGGAAAAATTGTTTCTTATTGTCACTGTGAGTTTCTTGAAACTCTGTCATTGATTTGTTGTTTGCTGTTTGACAGCAGAAATTCTTCTTTGATTTGTTATTCAAGAGCAGAAATTCTCAATTTGTTGTCGACAGCAGAAACTTTTTTTTTTTTTTTTTTTTTTTTTTTTTTTTTTTTATATATATATATATATATATATATATATATATATATATATATATATATATTTCGTGTTTGGCAGCTGAAAATCTTTCTGTAGTTTTTCCAACCGTGTCTTTTCTTCCATAGCCTCAAATTTGTTTTCTATTATGTTAGTAATTTCTCTTTTCATTTTTTCTTGACCTACTTCAGTCTTTTCTTGAACTGACTCTCTTTCATTTTTTTCTTGG